AAGGACGGTGGCGGTCAGAAACCAAGTGAAGGCGGAGGCGGTGAGAAGAAGAAGAATACATCGGCAATTAAATTGCATTTGTTGTCTAACCCCGTGTGTCGTGAAAGTTATGATGATTCTTGGTTCAGTGTTGTTCGTTCTGCAAGTAGTTTCAAGCAGTTAAAAGTTCTAGAAGCAGTCTACATTCGCATTCGTGATCCAAATCTTTGTAAACAAAAAGAAAATGTCACCGCACTTACGCTATTCCAGTAAATTCGCACTCACACACACTTACACATGCATGTCCATTGTCACGCTGCACTTGCTGAATTTCCTATCATTTCTCACCTCACCTATAGTTTATTACCTGTGCAAATTGTTCCTAGGTTTGTGCTATTTTTCTTACTATGCTTGTATCCTCGCTGTTCCACTGCAAGTGTATAAATCCTATTGTAGTTTCATCATTCTCTTTAGTCACGAATTCCATTGATAATTGTGACAAGAAAACGTTCTGGAATACATGATTCGTCCCCATGGTTGTGACTTTATTATTATTTATTATTCTCGTATCCGTCCCGAAAGGGACTCACGATGGCAGAATTAACCGTGAGCATGTGTGTGTGAGAGTGGGAGAACGAAATGAAAAAGAAAAAAAGAGTCTTGTAATAAAGGTCAAATTTAAGAAGAGCAGTACTAGACTAAATGGCTGAGCAGATGTTACTCCATTGTTTTCTGTCGCGGGCATAGGTGCCGAGATCACGAAGGCAGCTGGGCTTAAAAATGCAGATAGGTGTGAGGCGGACGTCTCGCTGGAGACTTGTGGTGAGGCAAGAGCGGGGTGCACCTATTCGAAAGGGCTGACTGGTAGCATATGTACAGAAAGCAGTGAGAGCAACATTTGCAGGGATGTCACTTGGCTGGCGTAATATATGTCCTAATAGCTTCCACCTGTCCCGCTTGGCCATTTCAGATACAGAGCACTGGCCAGTAACAGCATATAAATCTGCATTCGAGATGACATCTGGGTAGGTTATTCCAAGGGTACACCGCAGCTGTTTCCTATGAAACACATCTAGGCGCTTTTCTTGTGCACCGGACAGGCCATGGCAAGCAAGGTTGTAGGTCAAGATTGGTAGAACGAAAGTGTTGTATAAACGAATTTTGATGGGTGTAGAAAGCAGGTTGTGTTTGAACCATAACTTCAGAGTGTCTCAAAATGCTCTTGCGGCCAAGCCAATACGGCGCGTTACGTCCTCCCCGGAGCCGTATAGCGAGCCGAGTGTCTTCACCTGTCGCCTACTATTGACTGGCATAAAATAAAACAGAGAGGTTCCAGGCTGTCCAATAGAGTGCTCAGTACTGAAAGCCAGAGCTGGTTCCGACGAAACAATAATAAGAGGATGAAAAAAGTGTTTTTACTCTGAGTTTCACGCGCTAAGCGATCGTCAGAAAACAGAAATGAGTAACTCTGGATACTGGTATACATGTATACCCACAAGCAAACATAAAATTAATATGTTAGCAGCAGTAAGTTACTAAGTATGGCTCCGGATTGTATGTTATGAATAACGGGCAATTCTTAGTTACCGTGGGCTGTAGTGCTCGGTCCCAACGTGCCCCCGGATCCGACAGGGGAGTATTACTGTACGTTTGTCTAGGCTAACAGTCCGGGCCATGGTAATCATATCGCGGCTGTAGCAGGTGAAGCGCGAGTGCTGCCTGGACTGTCTCATCATCAGCAATACATGTACAAACAGCTTGCATGTATCATCATAAACAATACAATGTATTGTCATGTACTAAATGTCATGTACTAGCAGCTTGCACGTATCATTTGTCTCATTTTGGGTGAAGTCTGCAGATCTGCCAGTATAGGGCTTGAAAGTGCTACGTCACTCCATAGCAATGGCATAGCAACAATTTGAAAAATTCGAAAACTAGATCCACCTGGATCCAGTTTTTGTATGGATCCAAGCACATTTCAAGCGGTCTCACTCACAGCAAGGTGACGTTGCCAGTGAAACTGACTGATTTGGCTAGTGGGGGCGGGGTGACAACTGGTGGCGAAGTAAAAGTTGCACCTGCATACGACATGAGTGGGTTGCTATGCACCCACATACTGAGGCAATAGCAAAGTCACACCTTAGTGGATCCAAAATAGAAATCTGATGTCAATTTACTACTCCCAGGCCGTTTTTGACGTCATCACTTTCAAGCCCTATTGGGACTCGGTATTGTCATGGCAACGGGTTATGTTCCCCTTAGGCAAAGTAGATACTGTAGTATCGTCGCCAACACAATCCGGCGAATACTGCACATGGTACTGTAAAACGGCTAATTTTAGCGACGGTGATATTTTAGCGATTTTAGCGAAAGGAGTGTTTTCGCTGAAGTTTTTCCGCGCCAATCAAAATTTTGCGAGCCATTGTGTGTACATGTTACCCAATATGTACCAGGCCCACCGGAGCCGGTCCGGTTGGTCAGGTTATCACGGACCAACTTTTTGGCCACCAACACGTGTTTCCTGCTGTGGAGGGCATGCGTACTCGCCATCTCGATACACAAAGTATAAAAGGCCATGATACTACCAGATCAATCAAACCTGCTTCCGGCGGTCCTGTGTAGAGGTGCGTGCATGTGTAGGGGAGATTCCCCTTCAGTCAGCTGTGTACATATGTACCGGTACGCGGTGTAGGCTAGAATTAGTGGAGGCCAATTCACTAGCACTGCATACTGTTGAGTGGTGTGACCCCAGGCCCAGGACCAGTTGCTATGTACATGTATATGTATGCGAGTTGCCGCCAAACACGGTGTAATCCGTGACACGGTGTAATCCGTGACACGGTGAGCAAGACGACGAGTTCGAACATTCTATTGCCTTGATTTCTACCCTGCATTCTGTCCCCGGGGAAAATTGCGGGAAAAAATCGCTAAAAACGCGGGGAAAAACGCGACATATGGCATAATTTGCGGTGAAGTTGCGATAAATATGCGGTGAATAATATTGATGTGCGGCATTTTTCAGTGAGTATGTAGTGAAATCAATCAGTTACAAGTCTCTGGTGTAAGCACTCGTCATATTTGAGTAAAAAGCCGCCACGATGAGACGTTGCTGACCGAACAGTGCACTGTGTGTACGTGTAGTGCAACAAAAAAGTTCAAAAAACGCGGGAAAATCGCGGAAAACGCGGTCTTTTAAAAAATCGCAAAAAAACGGAAAAAAAACGCGACCGCGGAATCGCAATTTCCCCCGGGGACAGTGCATTTAACCAACAACGCAGACCAGGTATGTTGTACATAAAATGTGTACATGTAGTCTACGTACAAGTAGCACAATCATGTACATGTAGCTATGCGCCTACCTCAGAAAGAATATGCACAATTATGCTCCAGGTTTTCAACTACCAAATCCTGACTAACAATATGCCGGCATAATCCACTGGAGCCTATGCATGCGCACGCACACACCACACCCACATACACACATACACCCACATACCCCCCCCCCCTCCCCCCACACACACACATGTGCGCACATACGTGTCCTGCCCTGTCGACCCACTGCCACAAAGGTTCTCTACGGGAGAAGAGAGAGAGAGATGAGTAACATGCACGCCTGTGATGCATCATCATGTCTGTGGGCTGACACAGTCTTCTGTAGCACTGAATGATGGCATTCAAGAGTCTTCTCGGTAGCACTGATGCCACACAAGAGGCTAGCTGGTATGGCCCTCCTTGCACGCTTCTGCCATGGGTATGCAGTGCAGGATGAGGTGACACACACACACACACACACACACACACACACACACACACACACACACACACTACTACTACTACTAGCAGCATGACTGCCCAGAGGGGCAAGTGTCACCCCTATGGAAAGGGGACCAGAAAACGGGACACGGATCACAAGCAGGACCGCGAATGTCTGGCTAGGTCCTGCTGCCGGCGGAAATTGCGTTTACAACGTGGGCAGCTGAGGGGCAGAGCTGCTCTCTCAGCAGCAGATGGTCTCGCACCACGATTGCAGTTGTGACGCTTGAACCCGGCCGCAGAACGGAAGCATCGCTGACATGTTGGGCAGTGCTGCTGGCAACAAGCTGAAAGTGGCACAGACAGACTGACTGTTGGTGTAGGAGAACTCGTGACAGGCTGGCATCGATGAACAGAGTAGCCACCCTTGCTGCGGAACCACCTCTGGCAGTTCTGGCATTGCACTGATCCACGCTGGAGCTGGATGGGAAGCCGTCTCTGAGTGGTGCACTTGTGCCGCGTTCTATCTGAGACCCGTGAGAAGTTCCGGTCACACACTGCGCAATGCACAGACTTGGGCATGGTGGAGCTCGACTGAGGGGCAACCCGTACTTCCCTCCACTGTTGGCGGTCCTGAGCAAGGATGAACCACTGAGATGGCTGTTGCAGTGCAACCTTGAGGTCGGTCATCACCGTGTCTTTCCACCGTCGCCGGGGACCACAAAACGGCCGAGGCACAGGTAGCCACCCAAAGAGGAGTTGGAGGGGGGTGCGACACACACACACACACACACACACACACACACACACACACACACACACACAAATGTGCGCACAAGCGCGCGCGCGCGCACACACACACACACACACACACACACACACACACACACACACACACACACACACACACACACATCTAATCCGTACACAAGACCAGTAACAAACATAAGATGCACGTACATGTGCTGGCAAGCCAATCGCCAGAAGAACAACACAGTTACGCAAGATTAGTAGAATAACAATAGCCAGTCTACGCAAGATTAGTAGAATAACCATAGCCAGTCGCAAGATTAGTAGAATAACCAGCCAGCCAGTCTTCGGTATGCTGTAGCACAACCATTGCACCGGCTCGAGGTCAATAACACAAACCCGAAAACATGCTCACACACGCACGCACACATACACACACATACACACATGTGCGCGCGCACACACGCACGCGCACACACACGTACACGCACACACACACACAATCAAAGGACGAAGCCCGGCGACAAGCAATCACCTGTTCTGATTGACATTTGAGTCTACATAGAGGAAGGGGTGGGGGTTGTGGGGGGGGGGGGGGGGGGGGGGAGAATAAAAGTCACAATGCTCTTGATGCCAGGTGTAATGTGACCGCTATAGGAATATATTATGCTACTATACTACAGGGATATTGAACAGAGATATTGTATATAGATAATGAACAACATATACGTGGAAAAACGTAAAACAAGAATGCAGCGGGAGTATGATGACTGCATACAATGCAGCAACTCTAAAAGTCGCACACCATCGGTGTGACGGTGATGGACTGGATAAAATGCAGAAACTCTAAAAAGTCAAACACCATGCATGTAGGTGTGACTGTGATGGGCCATTGTTGCAGCAGCAGATCTTTAGCAAACGTGCACAATAGGTGGAAAATACAGCGCGAGGTCGACAAGGACAATGAAAAGGACAACCGGGTCCAGCAAGGTAAAACTACAGGCCTGAAACAATACATGTAAGCCAGCAAAACTGAGATGCTATGCAAGGTTGGCCTGACATGCTGTGCAAGGTTGGCCTGACATGCTATGCTAGGTTGGCCTGACAGGCTATGCAAGGTTGGCCTGACATGCTATGCAAGGTTGGCCTGACAGGCTATGCAAGGTTGGCCTGACATTCAGGCCGTGAAAACCTACATCGCCTATCATCACAAGAATGATACAATCCAACCGATACATAGATTGCAAAAAAGGAGAGTAAAAAAAAAGCAGCTGAGACGGAGCGAAAAAGACTCCACATAAAAAAGATGCAATGAGCAATGTACAAATCCCGAAAGAGTTCTAAACAGTGGTGAATGCGGCAAAAGATCAAGGAACAAACTACCAGTCTTACAGAATCAGGCACGATTTGCTCTTCTTCGCCGGCTTCTGCTTAGAGTCTTTTCCATCACCAGCTGCTGCGGCTGATGGCGGTGGTGCTGTGGCCGCAGGAGCTGGGCTCTCAGCAGCCGGAGACAAGGCTGCAGGCTCATTGGATCCCGCCCCTGCACTGGATGGCAGTGAAATAGACGTTGACGGAGACTGAATAGCAGCTGCCAGAGAGCGTTCCAGGTCGATGAGCTTCTTCACACCGTTGTACATGTCCTGGACACATGCCACCTCAGACAGGCCAAGACGACGCTTGTTGCTGATGTCAAACACACCACCCGAAGAATCAGAGTGCTCGCCATGAATGCCTCTTGCTTGGACGTTGTACTCGTCGCAGATCTTCTTGAAATCAGGATGAGCTGATGCATGTGGTATGGCGATGTGTACGCTGGCTCTCATGCCCGTTCCCAGATTGGTTGGACACGAGCTCAGGTAGCCAAGGTTCTCCTTGTACTGGAAACCAAGCTTGTCGCTCAGCTCGTTGACGGCGGTTGCAAGACGTGCGAACACAGCACCAATGTCGCCGCCCTTCTCCATTGAGATGATTCGAAGTTGGTCCTCCTCGTTCACCCAAGTCAAGAAGGACTTCTTGTCGTTGTGGAAGATACCACGACCTTCCGGCCACTCTCCGTTGATGCCGGCTGCGTCCAAGAACCGATCACCTTTCTTGAAGAGAAAGTGGTCGTCGATCAGCTGCTGTGCCGTTGCATCGTCCATGCCGCTCAGTGGATAGTATTTGCCTTTCAGTTCACCATCCAGACTTTCCAGCACACCCACTACTTTCTGCTCCACTTCCACTCGTTCCTCCTTGCCCAGCGTTGGGGTCAGACCATAGCCACGTAGATTACGTGCTACTCGAATGCGTGTTGATACCACAAACTCATTGTCGGGGTCTGGGTTGGGTGCATCCAGGTGGCTGGGATCGAAGTCGGCTGGATGTGAGTCGGTCACTTTGTAGCCGCTGTGGTACTCCTCGATGATTGGATTCACCAGTGAGCCGAAAGCAGTGTAGCTCTCCTCATCACCAAGGTATACGCCGATGCTGCTATCCTGGTTCTGCACACCACTGTTGATGCAGTCCTTCAACGTCACACCACGCTCTGTCTTGACATCCTTCAGCTCTGCATACACTTCACGTGTCAGGTGACGGCGTAGCGATGACTTGCACTCATCCTTGAACTGTGGGTAGCCGGCGTCACTAGCTGCCAGAGAGCGCTCCAGGTCGATGAGCTTCTTCACACCGTTGTACATGTCCTGGACACATGCCACCTCAGACAGGCCAAGACGACGCTTGTTGCTGATGTCAAACACACCACCAGAAGAATCAGAGTGCTCGCCATGAATGCCTCTTGCTTGGACGTTGTACTCGTCGCAGATCTTCTTGAAATCAGGATGAGCTGATGCATGAGGTATGGCGATGTGTACGCTGGCTCTCATGCCCGTTCCCAGATTGGTTGGACACGAGCTCAGGTAGCCAAGGTTCTCCTTGTACTGGAAACCAAGCTTGTCACTCAGCTCGTTGACGGCAGTTGCAAGACGTGCGAAAACAGCACCAATGTCGCCGCCCTTCTCCATTGAGATGATTCGAAGTTGGTCTTCTTCATTCACCCACGTCAAGAAGGACTTCTTGTCGTTGTGAAAGATGCCACGACCTTCCGGCCACTCTCCGTTGATGCCGGCTGCGTCCAAGAACCGATCACCTTTCTTGAAGAGAAAGTGGTCGTCGATCAGCTGCTGTGCCGTTGCATCGTCCATGCCGCTCAGTGGATAGTATTTGCCTTTCAGTTCACCATCCAGACTTTCCAGTACACCCACTACTTTCTGTTCCACTTCCACTCGTTCCTCCTTGCCCAGCGTTGGGGTCAGACCATAGCCACGTAGATTACGTGCTACTCGAATGCGTGTTGACACCACAAACTCATTGTCGGGGTCTGGGTTGGGTGCATCCAGGTGGCTGGGATCGAAGTCGGCTGGATGTGAGTCGGTCACTTTGTAGCCGCTGTGGTACTCCTCGATGATTGGATTCACCAGTGAGCCGAAAGCAGTGTAGCTCTCCTCATCGCCAAGGTATACGCCGATGCTGCTATCCTGGTTCTGCACACCACTGTTGATGCAGTCCTTCAACGTCACACCACGCTCTGTCTTGACATCCTTCAGCTCTGCATACACTTCACGTGTCAGGTGACGGCGTAGCGATGACTTGCACTCATCCTTGAACTGTGGGTAGCCGGCGTCACCAGCTGCCAGAGAGCGCTCCAAGTCGATGAGCTTCTTCACACCGTTGTACATGTCCTGGACACATGCCACCTCAGACAGGCCAAGACGACGCTTGTTGCTGATGTCAAACACACCACCCGAAGAATCAGAGTGCTCGCCATGAATGCCTCTTGCTTGGACGTTGTACTCGTCGCAGATCTTCTTGAAATCAGGATGAGCTGATGCATGTGGTATGGCGATGTGTACGCTGGCTCTCATGCCCGTTCCCAGATTGGTTGGACACGAGCTCAGGTAGCCAAGGTTCTCCTTGTACTGGAAACCAAGCTTGTCGCTCAGCTCGTTGACGGCGGTTGCAAGACGTGCGAACACAGCACCAATGTCGCCGCCCTTCTCCATTGAGATGATTCGAAGTTGGTCCTCCTCGTTCACCCAAGTCAAGAAAGACTTCTTGTCGTTGTGGAAGATGCCACGACCCTCTGGCCACTCTCCGTTGATGCCGGCTGCGTCCAAGAACCGATCACCTTTCTTGAAGAGAAAGTGGTCGTCGATCAGCTGCTGTGCCGTTGCATCGTCCATGCCGCTCAGTGGATAGTATTTGCCTTTCAGTTCACCATCCAGACTTTCCAGTACACCCACTACTTTCTGCTCCACTTCCACTCGTTCCTCCTTGCCCAGCGTTGGGGTCAAACCATAGCCACGTAGATTACGTGCTACTCGAATGCGTGTTGATACCACAAACTCATTGTCGGGGTCTGGGTTGGGTGCATCCAGGTGGCTGGGATCGAAGTCGGCTGGATGTGAGTCGGTCACTTTGTAGCCGCTGTGGTACTCCTCGATGATTGGATTCACCAGTGAGCCGAAAGCAGTGTAGCTCTCCTCATCGCCAAGGTATACGCCGATGCTGCTATCCTGGTTCTGCACACCACTGTTGATGCAGTCCTTCAACGTCACACCACGCTCTGTCTTGACATCCTTCAGCTCTGCATACACTTCACGTGTCAGGTGACGGCGTAGCGATGACTTGCACTCATCCTTGAACTGCGGGTAGCCGGCATACCTAGCTGCCAGAGAGCGCTCCAAGTCGATGAGCTTCTTCACACCGTTGTACATGTCCTGGACACATGCCACCTCAGACAGGCCAAGACGACGCTTGTTGCTGATGTCAAACACACCACCAGAAGAATCAGAGTGCTCGCCATGAATGCCTCTTGCTTGGACGTTGTACTCGTCGCAGATCTTCTTGAAATCAGGATGAGCTGATGCATGTGGTATGGCGATGTGTACGCTGGCTCTCATGCCCGTTCCCAGATTGGTTGGACACGAGCTCAGGTAGCCAAGGTTCTCCTTGTACTGGAAACCAAGCTTGTCGCTCAGCTCGTTGACGGCGGTTGCAAGACGTGCGAACACAGCACCAATGTCGCCGCCCTTCTCCATTGAGATGATTCGAAGTTGGTCCTCCTCGTTCACCCAAGTCAAGAAGGACTTCTTGTCGTTGTGGAAGATGCCACGACCCTCCGGCCACTCTCCGTTGATGCCGGCTGCGTCCAAGAACCGATCACCTTTCTTGAAGAGAAAGTGGTCGTCGATCAGCTGCTGTGCCGTTGCATCATCCATGCCGCTCAGTGGATAGTATTTGCCTTTCAGTTCACCATCCAGACTTTCCAGTACACCCACTACTTTCTGCTCCACTTCCACTCGTTCCTCCTTGCCCAGCGTTGGGGTCAGACCATAGCCACGTAGATTACGTGCTACTCGAATGCGTGTTGATACCACAAACTCATTGTCGGGGTCTGGATTGGGTGCATCCAGGTGGCTGGGATCGAAGTCGGCTGGATGTGAGTCGGTCACTTTGTAGCCGCTGTGGTACTCCTCGATGATTGGATTCACCAGTGAGCCGAAAGCAGTGTAGCTCTCCTCATCACCAAGGTATACGCCGATGCTGCTATCCTGGTTCTGCACACCACTGTTGATGCAGTCCTTCAACGTCACACCACGCTCTGTCTTGACATCCTTCAGCTCTGCATACACTTCACGTGTCAGGTGACGGCGTAGCGATGACTTGCACTCATCCTTGAACTGCGGGTAGCCGTCGTCACTAGCTGCCAGGGAGCGCTCCAGGTCGATGAGCTTCTTCACACCGTTGTACATGTCCTGGACACATGCCACCTCAGACAGGCCAAGACGACGCTTGTTGCTGATGTCAAACACACCACCAGAAGAATCAGAGTGCTCGCCATGAATGCCTCTTGCTTGGACGTTGTACTCGTCGCAGATCTTCTTGAAATCAGGATGAGCTGATGCATGTGGTATGGCGATGTGTACGCTGGCTCTCATGCCCGTTCCCAGATTGGTTGGACACGAGCTCAGGTAGCCAAGGTTCTCCTTGTACTGGAAACCAAGCTTGTCGCTCAGCTCGTTGACGGCAGTTGCAAGACGTGCGAACACAGCACCAATGTCGCCGCCCTTCTCCATTGAGATGATTCGAAGTTGGTCCTCTTCGTTCACCCACGTCAAGAAGGACTTCTTGTCGTTGTGGAAGATGCCACGACCTTCCGGCCACTCTCCGTTGATGCCGGCTGCGTCCAAGAACCGATCACCTTTCTTGAAGAGAAAGTGGTCGTCGATCAGCTGCTGTGCCGTTGCATCGTCCATGCCGCTCAGTGGATAGTATTTGCCTTTCAGTTCACCATCCAGACTTTCCAGTACACCCACTACTTTCTGCTCCACTTCCACTCGTTCCTCCTTGCCCAGCGTTGGGGTCAGACCATAGCCACGTAGATTACGTGCTACTCGAATGCGTGTTGACACCACAAACTCATTGTCGGGGTCTGGGTTGGGTGCGTCCAGGTGGCTGGGATCGAAGTCGGCTGGATGTGAGTCGGTCACTTTGTAGCCGCTGTGGTACTCCTCAATGATTGGATTCACCAGTGAGCCGAAAGCAGTGTAGCTCTCCTCATCGCCAAGGTATACGCCGATGCTGCTATCCTGGTTCTGCACACCACTGTTGATGCAGTCCTTCAACGTCACACCACGCTCTGTCTTGACATCCTTCAGCTCTGCATACACTTCACGTGTCAGGTGACGGCGTAGCGATGACTTGCACTCATCCTTGAACTGCGGGTAGCCGTCGTCACTAGCTGCCAGGGAGCGCTCCAGGTCGATGAGCTTCTTCACGCCGTTGTACATGTCCTGGACACATGCCACCTCAGACAGGCCAAGACGACGCTTGTTGCTGATGTCAAACACACCACCCGAAGAATCAGAGTGCTCGCCATGAATGCCTCTTGCTTGGACGTTGTACTCGTCGCAGATCTTCTTGAAATCAGGATGAGCTGATGCATGTGGTATGGCGATGTGTACGCTGGCTCTCATTCCCGTTCCCAGATTGGTTGGACACGAGCTCAGGTAGCCAAGGTTCTCCTTGTACTGGAAACCAAGCTTGTCGCTCAGCTCGTTGACGGCGGTTGCAAGACGTGCGAACACAGCACCAATGTCGCCGCCCTTCTCCATTGAGATGATTCGAAGTTGGTCTTCTTCGTTCACCCAAGTCAAGAAGGATTTCTTGTCGTTGTGGAAGATGCCACGACCTTCCGGCCACTCTCCGTTGATGCCGGCTGCGTCCAAGAACCGATCACCTTTCTTGAAGAGAAAGTGGTCGTCGATCAGCTGCTGTGCCGTTGCATCGTCCATGCCGCTCAGTGGATAGTATTTGCCTTTCAGTTCACCATCCAGACTTTCCAGCACACCCACTACTTTCTGCTCCACTTCCACTCGTTCCTCCTTGCCCAGCGTTGGGGTCAGACCATAGCCACGTAGATTACGTGCTACTCGAATGCGTGTTGACACCACAAACTCATTGTCGGGGTCTGGGTTGGGTGCATCCAGGTGGCTGGGATCGAAGTCGGCTGGATGTGAGTCGGTCACTTTGTAGCCGCTGTGGTACTCCTCAATGATTGGATTCACCAGTGAGCCGAAAGCAGTGTAGCTCTCCTCATCACCAAGGTATACGCCGATGCTGCTATCCTGGTTCTGCACACCACTGTTGATGCAGTCTTTCAACGTCACACCACGCTCTGTTTTGACATCTTTGAGCTCCTCAAAAACTTCCTTGGTCAGATGTCTTCGCAATGAAGACTTGCACTCGTCGGAGAATTCTGGATACTCCATATCATCTCCTTTCAAGCCGGAATGAGCCACGATTTGCTCTGCCAGTTCCTTTGGTCGCCTTTGGAGCGGAGAAAATTCCTGATGTGCGATCAGTGGAACAAATAATTTCCAAGTGAAGAGATGCCGGAGCACGCCACGCAAGTGCTGCTGCTTTTTTTCCTGGCGCAGGAGCTGCTGCTAGTGCTGTAGTTTCTCTTGAAATGTGGCAGTACAACAGGCCAAACTCATCACCTCTAGCTCTGCGCCGTAGTATGCTACGCCCTGGCCTGAGCAAGCAATGCGTTGGACACTGAAAATTATGCATGCACGGCATGCAACTGCACTTATCACCAAGTAACCCGAGGCTTCCAAAAAAATGTCATGGTTACTGATTGGCAGGTTGGAAAATCTGTCACCTGTACGGTACCGATACCCGGTACCCCATGATCAGATGATCACTGTATACAGTGTAGATCAGGGAGTCGTAAAATACCGGTATTTTACGACTCCCTGGTGTAGATCTACGACACGTGCATCGAAGACGAAGCTTCGAAGGCTGATGCTGCGGCGATGCACCAGGGAGTCGTAGATAAATTACGACTCCCTGATGTGCACGCAGCGGCAGTACCAGTGCCACCAAGACTAGTACATAACCCATGTAGTCTTGGTACCACCGAATATGAGCTAGCTGTGCAAAGACAATGTGCATGTGTGCACGTGTGAATCTGTGCAACCAGCATGCATGCCGGCTAGGAATAGTAGGATGACACTTGACAGGAGCACTGTTCTCAACTCTCAACTGTTATCACTGGTTATCATGGTTATCCAGGGAGTCGACTCCCTACTGGCCCTAGGGCCTAGATGATGAGTACCGTAGATCCCTGGCAGTGGCACTGCTCTCGCCGTCTCGAGTCAAACTGTGACCATGGTGACTCTGCCGCTGCATGCACTGGCCAGCTCAGCTGGCACTTGGCGCGGCAGGTGTGTTGTGTGATGTGCTCACTGCACAGCTCATTTTCAACATCACGTGCAGAGACTCACAACATACTCAACTAGCTGTAGATCTACTGTGTACGGATAACCGGATAACGATAAGCCTATTTTGTCGTTTGCGTAACGGTATCATCATACAGTGACTCAAATTCCAGGGAAGACGGTGTCGCTTCGGGTATGGATTGTCGATGATATCGGCTGCGTTAAATAGTGACAAGGACGGAGCGACATCCTGGATAAGAAAATGAAGAAGAAAGAGAATTCGTGTGGCAGTGGACAAGCACATACCGCGCATACCGCCCAGTAACAACAAGTCCACCAGTCTGAACAGCACAGTGTCCAATGGTGTCAGTGATCAGAATCACACACTGAGACTCGGATGATTCAGACGGTGGAATGGCAGCAGCGAACAGAAGGTTGTGTAACTTGTGTATCGACCACATTCATCATGATTACTACTGCCTGTATTCGCTTCCAAGACGACCACTCCACTGCTCTATGTTCGTGTTCACGGTGAGCTTGCAATATGAGCCTTCGCCAACTCATTACTTCGATGCTGTAGTCTTCTAGCGCACAACCGAGTTCGCAGCCTCGGAGGAAATCCGTAGATCTACGCCATGTCGCTGTGAGTGTCCATATCCACACGTGTCGTCTAGGCTGATGTAACATGACTGATTGTGACTAAGTTACTATTACTTACTTGTTGCAGCTATTGGCGAAGCGATAGAACTCCAAGCATAATCATTAATGCAACGGTGTTTAATTGTTATGTTGCAACTGTCACAGTGGAAATACCCAGCTGGTGACCGGCTGAGTGTGAGCCGGTGGGGATGAAGTAACAGTTAGTTACTAGTACATGATTGTTATATCCTTTGTCTGTGTTACTTCACACGCTCTTGTTATTGTCCTATTTGTTACTCGAGTCAAGGTCCCTGCCTGGCTAGACAGTATCATTTCTACTGTACCAAGATTGGTGTGTTTAAATCACCTCCAGCTTATGCACCCGGGGTACCCTGGCCCAGCGTTGGTGATATGCGACATGTCAACAGTCGGTGTTCTGTGTTCACCCGTCTTAAAGTGCCCTGTGTTGATGATGTTTTCAATGGATACGTGATAGATAACATCCGGAGATTGTGTCATGACGAATGATTGTGCATACTCTCTCTATGACTACATGTACAGTATAGTATGTACAGAAGCCTTGCTTGGTAGTTAACATGTTTTTCGATTTTGACAGCATGTTACAAGGCGAGGACGCGTAGTGCTCCTGACTACAACCATAAACCGGTTGGCAGAGTCCCGGGACATCACCAACCTCGTCGGCAGCGAGCACCTTCTCACAACAGTCGTCATGGTGATGACTATGACTGTTACAGCTGACGAGCTGAGAGAAGGACGCCATGGGCAGAAGTTGAAAAAAGACAAGAAAAAAGAAAAAGAACAAAAGAACAAAAGAAAAAAGAAATAAATCACAAATAATTTAATTACAGAGGAAGACAAGAAAATAACATCACAAATCCTTCCAGACGTGATCCCTGCAGCGGCAGCAACGTGAACAATACCACGGCGGCAACACGACGACTTCTACAACACAAAAAAACGAAAATTATAAAAATCCTACCAACCCGTAGAGTAACGAGGGTCCGAACCTGGGTTTTCCCAATACGGTTCAAATGGTCGCAAGACCGGGACTCTGCCAACCGGTTTATGGTTGTAGTCAGGAGCACTACGCGTCCTCGCCTTGTAACATGCTGTCAAAATCGAAAAACATGTACAGTATACTAGTACTAGTAGTCATCGGAGGCGAAGAAGGTTCCTGCCTTCCGTTAGATCAGCAGATGATAAGTTATTAACGGTATGGGAGCCCACAACAGATAGCAGCAACTCGGAGACTACTATAACAAGCTGCAAAGTCGAGAGAACAGAAGAAAAGAGGCACACTCGACCGGATGACCCAGGAAATCTCTTCTGCCAGCTGTCTGGTACCCAATGCCACCCATACGCATGCAGCACTGATGTTGATCTACCCACTGACTACTGTACCGGCACTATGGCCCACTATTATGATGGCCCACTATTATGACTATGGGTACAATAAACCGGCCTAACTAACTTCCTATCTGCAGTAGCAACTCTTCATTCAGTTCAGTGCATTTCAAGGCAAACAGTCGGCTAGAAGAGTGTATCCAGGACGCCTCTTTGCTTGATTGTCAACACACTGCCTTGGCATGGGCAGCAAACTGTAGTCACTGAGCCCTGGCATGGGCAGCAAACTGTAGTCACTGAGCCCTGGCATGTACATCTACAATCATGTTCTATCAATATGTTCTGTATGCTTCGCCGACCAACAACAATACCCTTGACATTGTTGCAATGTTTGTGACATCAGTGCTGTAGTAGAAAAATACAACTCAAAAAGGTACTGACAGCTCCTGTCCTCAGGCTCAGGGGCCTGTGAACATGCATTATACTTTATAGCTTACTACACAGTCAGTGTGTCCTGTGTAACATTATTTTGGGAAAACTGTTATGTGAGCAGCCTGACTGGACCTCACACACAAACCAACATTCGCACAACGAAGGAAATCATTAGGCTGGTCATTTCCCAGAGGTTTTTCATAACACCTAGTTTTTTTTGACAAAGACATGAAAGAAAATAAGATACTAGTATAGAAATTTTGGCTATTCTCAAAATGATTTAAAAAATCCATTTGGAGACGAGACTAATGACATCAATGAAGACGTCAACAACATGATTCGCCAACCAAGGCAGGGCCGCCGTTCACGCTGGATCAATTTGCAATAGAAATCGAGTGTGCTGCCGCAGCAGATACCGCACAACTAGCCTAGCCTAGTGGCCTGGTGGAGGTTGGAAAAAAGTGTCTATTTCTTGCCCTTAGCAGCTGGCTTGGCACCGGACTTCTCCAGCTCGATCAGCTTAACAACACCAGTATGCATGTCCTGCACACACTGTACTTCGGACAAGCCGAGACGACGCTTGTTACTGATGTCGTAGACTCCGCCGGACGACTCTGAGTGTTCGCCGTGAATGCCACGCGCCTGGATGTGGTACTGGTCGCAGATGCTCTGGAATTCTTTGTGACCGGCCGCGTGTGGGATCTTGATGTGAACGCTGGCACGCATGCCCGTACCCAGGTTAGTCGGGCAGGAGCTCAGGTAGCCGAGGTTAGGCGTGTGCTGGAATCCCAGCTTGCTCTCTATGGCGTTGACGGCACGGGCCAGACGCTCAAACACGGCCTGAATGTCGCCACCCTTCTGCATGGATATGATGCGCAGCTGATCTTCTTCATTCACCCATGTCAGGAATGTCTTGTTGTCGTTGTGGAAGATTCCACGGCCAGAGGGCCACTCACGGTTGACACCAGCAGCCTCCAGGAATCGATCACCCTTCTTGAAGAGGAAATGATCATCGATCAACTGCTTGGCAGTGGCATCAGGCATACCCGAGAGGGGAAAGTAGCGACCCTTCAGATCGCCACCTAGGCTCTCCAGGACGTCGACCACTTTACGCTCCACCTCTAGTCGATCAAAGTAGCCGATACCTGGTGTCAGCGAATACCCTTTCAAGTTACGTGCAACACGAATACGCGTGGAGAGAATGTACACACCCTCTGGGTCGGGGTTCGGAGCTTTCAGGTGTGCTGGGTTGAAGTCGGACGGGTGGTTATCAGTGACCTTATAGCCCTTGTGGTAATCCTCGATGATCGGGTTGATGAGGGCAGCGAATCGTGAGTAGCTTTCCTCATCAGGTACGTACACGCCGATACTGCTATCCTGGTTCTGCACACCGCTGTTGACCATGTCCTTGAGATTGCCACCGCTAGCAGAGCGCACATCCTTCAGTTTGTCGAACACGGCTGGTGTCAGAAAACGCTTCAGAGCTGATTTGCAGCTATCTTTGAATATAGGGAACTCCATAGTTCTATCGATGGTGGTGGTAAAGTCCTGAAATAACAATGGCCCGTATAGAGCTAAGATGAAAGTAAATAGTCCGCTGAGCGACACAAATAACAGCATTCGCTGGCGAGTGAAGCAAGATCGACACCAGGCCTTGAGCATCACTTCTTCAGCATGACATGCGGACGTTGCTGGGCACGCACAAACCGCCTGCTCGTGGGGAGCCCATTCTATAGATCTACGACACTTCGTCTTTGTGTGGGCACGCAGCGACGACTGAGCTGAGACAGTGAGAGCTGCAGATACCGCGGATACTGCCTGTGCGCAGCCAAGCCCTCTTGCGTAACTAGGGACAAGGGCATGAGGGTATGAAAATGCACTGACTCTGTATCACGAGGCCGAGGCCGGTTTGAACCCCCCGCCCCTGGCGCAACTACCGGTACATAATTATTATGTAACCCAATGCTATGATGTATGTATACTGTAGGCTAGTAGTAATAATATTAATAAGGCTCACACGCTATGCCCAACGAATGAGTATGTGTGTGCCTCTCGCACTATCCTGCCTATGTCCTGGATCTGCAGTGCAGTGTTGATCTACACGGCATTTCTGGTGTGACAGTGGTGTGTGATGGGCGTTCAGACCTTTTACTCCCTGAGACACATGACCGGGTACCTCACTCCCATGGAACTCTACCGGACTGAACACCAGTCGCCTGCTAGTCCAGGCCTACCTACATAATAAACTGTCCTTGTAGCCTGATGACTGATGTCTGGACAAGACAGGTTGAAGACTAATGAGTAATGAAGGCCGTGCTTGCACTTGAGTTAGTTGTCCTCGCGGTGTGTGGCACCCATAATCCATGCTATGGCAGGTACCGGCAGTCAATCAGCCGACAAGAGTACGATGTGGGATTGTGGGGCATGGACTAGTCGACTGAGTCTGTTGTTGTCTTGATGTCAATTCTAGACTGACGTGTCAGACACCCAGCGCGTTGACACTTCGATCTGCGAGGGGCGGGACCGCGGACCGCACAGCATGCATGCAGGAGACTCAACTCATCCAACTGTATAGATCATGTTGACGTGCGGACCATACCGTCCAAGACCAAGGGTACTCGTTATATTTAAAGTAAAGTCTCTTTCTGTACGGACAAAATAAGCATCCTGAAATGAACACAGGTATCTAGTACTATAATGTGTTGTTGGGCCCATGGGGAAATAGGAAGAGTAATGTAGAACGGTGTGTTGTACTCCTGGAAATACTACATCATGTACTAATACAGTGAACACTATGTCATTGCACAAGCTGGATTTCCAATAGCTACCATCGGCATCGTGTGTAGCACTTGGCAAGGCAAACATCATCGGCAGGGACCTACTAGTACCCAAGACAACGATCGGATACATTTCATTCATACATTTATGTGAACACACAAACACATACACAAACCCATACACAAACACACACGCACGCCGAAATGTCATTATAAAACTGGGCACTGGTTTGCTAGGAATAAGGTAGTCCTGCAATCGAGTACCCCCCCCCCCCCCCATACATAGACAGACAGACAGACAGACACGGGCAAACACATACACACACACACACACACACACACACACACACACACACACACACACACACACACACACACACACACACACACACCTGCACCTCAAGGAACTCAGCTTGATGCATAGCACAAGGGCATCACCAGTCGGCCAGCTGCTGAACGCCGCCCCGTGGCCCTAGATACGAGTACGTGTTCGCACATGCAAGCATGAACACCCACATCCCCACACACGGACACACGTGTGCAGAATAAGGCCACCTGGTTTAGCTGTAAGTCAGCTTATGACCAGTAACCATGTAACAGGCTAGTGCTGCTAACACCAGCAGCAGCAGCAGCACCACCACCACCACCACCAGCACCAGCAGCCGCAGCACCACCATCAGCAGCAGCAGCAGCACCACCAGCACCACCATCAGCAGCAGCAGCACCACCAGCACCACCGTCAGCAACAGCACCACCACCAGCACCATCAGCAGCACCAGCACCACCACCAGCAGCACCACCAGCACCAGAGTAATATTGAACCGGGCCAAATTCATCAAAACCCAGCGTGGCATTCTGAACATGGTTGCGGCCATGACATGGGTCAGGCTCATAGAAAGATCAGGTGAAGACCATGAGTAAGAGATAAACCACTATTGGCAGTATTGCTACTAGCATTAGAACTGAAGCTACACAGCATGCAGTCTTATAATCAATTATGTTACTTTCTAGTGTCAGTGAGTGATGATGGCAGTGCAACAGCTATCAGCATGGCAACGGTGAGGACAGAACCATGGCAACGGTGAGGATGGAGCCATGGCAACGGTGAGGACAGAGGCATTACTAGAATTGAGCAGCAGGGCATCTCTACTTCAGGAAAGGGAATCATCAAGAGCTATGTGCAGTCGGTAACCATGGAAACAAGAGCCATTGAAAGTTGAAAAAAAGTATTTACAGTGAGAATGTCCCGCGGACATCGGGACTAACAAAAAATCTAGTGCTGTCTGTTTTACAGCATGCAAGAGGCAACAGAATGAGCGGGCCAGTGAACACACACAATACTGGAGCTGCTGCTGCTGTAACAGCTACATGTCATGTTCACTGTACGTGCTGCAATGCAACACAGCCATATACGGTAGCTGCATTACAACATTGGATGGTGGCAATTAAATAATAGTCGGGAATGGCTGTTGATATTAGAACATCTCTTTTAGTTACATGTTGTAGTGGGCCATTGATAAAAACAAAACAAAAAAGCTGACAGAAAATGACCATTCCTATCTATACAGATTATGACATAATCCATACAGACCATGACACAATCCATACAGACCATGACATAATCCATACAGATTATAACATAATACTGCAAGCTGTAATTGTAGCTGAGCAAGGCCGCTACGTCTAACTAAAAACAACAATTTTACTCGCTATGTCCTACAGAGTCCAGTGTAAATGTACCATACACACACACAGGCTAGCATGTACAGGCTAGCATGTACAGGCTAGCGTTCGTGTGATTCCGTGGAAGTGCAGATGAAAGAGACCAATTATTACTACGCACACTGGTCCAGTTGCACACCAAGTGAACAGCCACCCGCACAGGGGAATGTTGTTCACCGTCATTGATGACCAACCCCCTCTCACATACGCACACACACACACAATGCGCCATCGTCAAACCACGACCAGTAACACACTCCATAGTGGAATGGCAGTCCAAACCAAACCGCTGGCAACTGCATCAATCCATGTAACACACATTTGAGTAATGTATGTACACGACTTATTGTAACACACACACACACACACACACACACACACACACACACACACACACACACACACACACACACACCCACACACACACACACACACACACACACACACACACACCCACACACACACACACACACACACACACCCACCATCGGCTGAGTAGTAACGTAGGCCCAACTGATAGCAACACTCTAAACTACACAGCAACAGCAGCATTACTGGTTCTTTTGCCGGCGGAAGAAGCTACCAGAGCGCTTCACACTGGAAGACTGTGAGGAGGAGGATGCGGATGTGCCATTTGGTGATGGTGGAGCATGTTGACAGGCTAGAGATAGCTCCACACGCGCACCTACACAACACACATAAGCACGCACACACGACACATAGACATACACATAGACAGACAGACAGATACACACACACACATACACACACACACACACACACACACACACACACACAGAACAACAGGAGTGAGTAATGGCATAGTAGCCTATGACAAACACAGCAGCTCAGTTTGCCATTCGTAAGTTACCATACACCAGTCTACAAGGGTAGGTGACCAGGGCCTCACAACACATACACAAGATTTCAAGCACATAAACTGATAAAGTGATTCACCAGGCAGACAAAATACTCACATATTTAAACACGCATGACACCCCCCCCCCCCCACATAACGTTACGCACGCTACCCTCCCTCCCCTTTGCAAGAGCGGTGATCGTAAGGTTATACTTCGAAGTAAGACATTTAAATCTTGAGTAGACTTGACATGTACATGTATTTGTAAGAGAACGAGATTTTTCGAGTTTCGGTTCAAAATTTGACTGAATGGGTACCCGATTCTTTTCAGCTGGTGGTTCCAAAACCGGTTCCTTACCCGAACCGTTTCACCCCTAGTTGCTATAACATGAACATGTAGAGTGATGGTAGGATAGACTAGTAGACTGACCATTGCCCATGTTGAGCCACTTGGTTTTCTGTGTTAATCCTTCCATGAACTTCTCCAGCACGATGGTCTGTGTGCCAATGGTTGTCTTAGAACTACTCTTCAAGTCAATAGTCAGCAGGGAATCACTTGATACTGATGCCTCCTCAACCTAGGTGACAGCATAGGCAGCAAATAGGTACACAGCACAAACACACCGACACAAACATCTACATGATTATGACAAACAGAGAGGTCCCAAGCTGTCCAATACAGTACTCTATGCCGAAAGGCAGAGCTAGTTCCATCGAGAATAAGAGAATGAAAAAAGGGATGATCGCTTTATAAATAATAGTGCGTGAAACTCGGAGAAAACCCCTTTTTTCATCCTCTTATTCTTGTTGTACATGATTATGATAATGATTCGTGAGCCACGGGAACTGGGCAGTTAGTCTGTTATGGAAACACAGCAGCAGCAACAGACACTGATCCAGTGCCAGCAAACACAGCAGCAGACACTGTGATCCATATCCAGGAAACACAGCACACCGTACCTGGAATGTCTCTCTCCATTCTGGCGTCAGTGTTCCCTTGACACGACGTGATTTGTAGATTTCTGGACCTCGCGAGAATGGCTGTGGACGTTCAAAGAATGATCGGCTAGCAGAAAGAAAAGAAGAAGAAGAAGAAAGGAACAGAAGTGATGTTGACTTTCACCTCCTCACAGTGCAGAGAATTATGAAAGAGGTCAGTCAGAATGCAGCAGGCGGTCAATTGTCAACCGTCAATTGTGAAGAATTGTATATTGCCAGCAATCAAATACTCTGTTCTAGAAGAAAAATTATCTTAGAAAATCAAGCCCGCACCCTTCTGCTTCAAACAGTGTTTCCTTGCGTTTGAATTCATAATGACTGCAGATTGCTACACAGATTCTTGCCACCCACCCTGGAGGAGGGGGTCACATCCAAGACAGTGTCCTCAAAGATTGCCATTCTCTTCCGCCACAGGCAGTGCCTCCCAATGCCATGCCGCTCAACCTACTTGAGATGTATAATTTTACCCACATTCCAATACGCATGCAACAGCTTTTCCTCTTCCCTTTCCTCTGCACAACGTGATCGTCTTGAGAAACTTCTCAAGCGAGCTGTGCGTGTTGTCTGCTCTGCTCCGTTCCTGTCTCCAACTGCCCCTCTTTTTGAACGCCTCAGCATTCAACCCCTGCAATCAATGTATTGCCGCAAACTCCTCCTGCTAACCTTTCGTGTAATTCATAATAACTGTAGTGTGCTTCTTCATGACCTTGTCACACCTCTGTCACACACTCGTCGAACGAGGAGCACAGATGTTCCCCTGCTTCTTTTCCCGAGGATCATATCTGCCGCTGCCACACGCAGCCCTTCATATCAATGTCCCGCTCTCTGGAATAAGTTGCCTGCATCTATACGATCACTGAAGAAACCAGGTCAATTCCGGACCGCTCTTTTACCCCACCTGAAAAATTCACCGACTTACGTTGCTCACTGATCAAATAATTATGCAATCTTTCCTCTGCTAGCTAGCTGCTGTCTTAAATCCTACTCTTTTTTTCTATTTTCTTTTTTTTCTCTTTAATCTTTTCCTTACATTTGTGTGCCTGTTTGTCTTTAGTCGATCTCATGTAATAAGGCAACACTGCCTGTTTGTTATTCGACGTTAAATAAACCAATCCAAAAAATCCAATCCAAGTGATGTGACTCATTGCAAAGTCCTCTAAGGCCACACGTTTTTATTTCTATGTTTCTCGTCACCTGAAAATCTAAAAACGTATGCGAGAGGTGGAAAAAAATAAAAAATGACCGAAAAATAAAAAAAGTTTATTAGACCTTTGTTCACACTAAAATCCACCAATACACCATGCAAAATAGCATCCATAGTTAGCAACTAGTATCAAGAGTCCATAAACAGTTTTTGGACTCTTGCTTTTTTGTAGTTTGTGGCAGGAGCTTCTGTCACAATCTGTGCATGTGCAGCTAGATTGCGCACAATAATTGCATGGTGACCTCGCATCATGATTGTGTCGCGCAGGCCAGGCCACATTATGTACATGTGCATGTGCATGAGTGTGCTGGTCCCCACATGCACATGTGCACAGTCAGTGCAGCACATTTTTTCTTTTTTTCCTCCAGACTCCTGAATCGTATGCGCGTGGGTGACGAGAAACATAGATATAAAAACGTGTGGCCTAACTTGCAAATATAAAGAGAAGATAGATAGATAGATAGATAGGTAGATAGAGAGCCGGAAGAGAGAGAGAGAGAGAGAGAGAGAGAGAGAGAGAGAGAGAGAGAGAGAGAGAGGGGGAGAGAGAGAGAGAGAGGGGGGGGGGGGAGAGAGAGAGAGAGAGAGAGAGAGAGAGAGAGACGGAAGAGAGAGAGAGAGGACATAAGTTGGTACCATCCTTGATCTGGTTCGGCATTGTTCAAGCTGCTGATCCTATGCAATTAGTATCCGGCAACATTGTGTGTATGAGTCAATGGCTAACTAACGTGTTCAGACGAATCTTGACATACAACTCCAGAGAATCTGCACGACACCAACAACAAGAGAAAATCATGAAATGCACAACGTCAGGTAGTGTTAGGCCATCGCAGTACTGTCAGGTTCTGAAGAACTGGCTGTCAGCATTGTAGCCTAGGCTGTTCTTATTTTCATGTACTATGGTCTATGCACAGTTGAGTCACTGTGTATACATTGGTATGCTGTGCTTGGTGAAATTCTAGCCTGGTCGTTCTTCAGCACCCAGTAGTACTATACTAGTAGTCAAAGTCTTTCACATCATGCATCTCAGTAACAGCAACAGTAGCATCAGCAGCAGCCAACGCAGCAGCAGCACCACCAGCAGCAGCGGCAGCAGCAGCAACAGCGATCACATCAATCCCAACTCACCAGCCTCTCCTTTCAAGCCGTCAGCGCGTATGACAGTCCCTGAGAGGTAGAATAGCTGAGAGCGATTGGAAAGCGGAGAAAAAGGAGCAGAGCCTTGTGTAGCAGTAGACTGCCTTGAAAGACGACGCTGACGTACACCGTTCCCATCTGCCGCTGTCTCCTAAGAGAGAGAGAGAGAGAGAGAGAGAGAGAGAGAGAGAGAGAGAGAGAGAGAGAGAGAGAGAGAGAGAGAGAGAGAGAGAGAGAGCAGTGTTGCCACATTATTATAGCCGAATATCAGTAGGATAAAAAAACAAAATGCATCATCCGGTGGCTTCGCCCCCGGACCCCCTCCCCTATATAGCGACCTCAATACACACACAAACGCGCGGCACTAATAAGAAAAAAATTTCACGTTTTGCGCGAGACTCAGGCTGAGTTTGCCGATTATTCTCGAGACAGAGGATGATTTCGCTTAGCGCCTTAGGAGAGAGCTATGGAAACACGCGTAATGAGCAGTAAAAGCCAAAAAATCTGGATCATGACTTCTAAACCACGCATACAGTACTGTGGGTCGCCGAAGAACTGTGGGGTCAGCCTCCTAGCCTAGACCGTTCTTAATTTCATGTGTTACAGTCTATGCACGGTTGAGCCACCCCGTATACATTGGCATGCTGTGCTTGGTAACATTCTAGCCTGATCGTTTTTTGGCGCCCGACAGTACTCTAAGGTCAAACTTGGACACTTTCATGGCTGTTGTCGGCAGGAGAAGGTCAATTGTCGGCAGGTCGTGACATGCCTCAAAAATCGGCAGGCTACTGACATGTCGGCAGGTGTGGCAACACAGGAGAGAGTGAGAAGAGCAGATTAGCTGAAATGTAACAACCATCTCTGCGTAGGGTAGGTGTACATCTGGCACACATTCGTCATTTTAGGCGTTTCTTGTTTGAACTCTCTACACAGTGATGTGTACACAATCAGGGAGCTGGCCGTGGTCATTCCACTGGATTAGCCCCCCTCCCCCCCCCCCCCCCCCTCCCTCCACACACACACCCTGAAGAAGAAGAACACATCACAACATGCATAGTGGACCCGAGAAGCAGGACAATGGCAGTGACAACTAAAGCATTTGCAATGCAGTAACATATACCGCCAGGAAGAACAGCAGCAGCAGTAGCAGCAGCATCACCACCAATTCATCATCCGGAGCAGTAGCAAGTTAACAATGACCTTACAGCAGCAAACGCAAATACAAAGATAGTACCGAAAGTGTTGAACCCCCATCACTTACAGTAGATGTTGCTGATACATCAGGATCTGACACATTGCTATTGACAGAGTGTGTTGAGTTTATTTCACTGCCTGATTTGAGATTCACTCCATCATACGAACCGGAGAGTTGCTTGGATGCTGTGAGAACAGAGAGTGAAATAGAAAGATAAAACAGAGAGGTTCCAGGTTTTCCAATAGAGTGCTCAATACCGAAAGGCAGAGCTAGTTCAAACAATAATAAGAGGATGAAAAAAGTGTTTTAACTAGAGATAGATAGATAGATAGAGAGAGAGAGAGAGAGAGAGAGAGAGAGAGAGAGAGAGAGAGAGAGAGAGAGAGAGAGAGAGAGAGAGAGAGAAAGAGAGAGAGAGAGAGAGAAAGAGAGAGAGAGAGAAAGAGAGAGAGAGAGAAAGAGAGAGAGAGAGAGACACACACACACACACACAGCATTCGTACTACTTCCACGACACAAAGGGCTGTGTAAGTCCAGGGCACCGATGCGTATGAAATTGAAACACGTACCACAACAATCCATGTCTGTAGAAGGCATTGTGGACAGATAGTATGTAGAAAAATAGTGAGCATATGAACAGGTTTTAGATGAGAATGTATTGAGAATATTCTTGATGAACAGTAGTTCAGAGAACGGTGCTAGAAACACACAGAGAAGACTTGAGCACTTGCTGATAATCACGTGAACAAGTAACCAGTGAAAAACAGTCAGCATACATTAATATCTTTACCAGGTGTGTGTTGCTCTCCGCTAAGACGTGATCCAGCCGCCGCCGCTGCTGGCCCAGGAGATTTGGACCCATTGTCCATTGACCTGGAGCGATGGTGACCAGCACCAGACCGAAGCTTGCCAGAACGAGCTGGACAAGAATACCAAACAAACACAATCATGATGATGAACACGGAACCACAGAGTGAGACAGGTACACTGTGATTGCCTCCCCCCCCACACCCCACACATATCTACATCCTATACATACCTGATTCTCACACCAGAGCCCCCCCCCCCCCCACCCACACACACATATCTACATCCTATACATACCTGATTCTCACACCAGAGCCCCCCCCCCCCCCACCCACACACACATATCTACATCCTATACATACCTGATTCTCACACCAGAGCCCCCCCCCCCCCCCCCCCCCACCCACACACACATATCTACATCCTATACATACCTGATTCTCACACCAGAGCCCCCACCCACACACACATATCTACATCCTATACATACCTGATTCTCACACCAGAGCCCCCCCCCCCCCCCCCACCCACACACACATATCTACATCCTATACATACCTGATTCTCACACCAGAGCCCCCCCCCCCCCACACACACACTTATCTACATCCTATACATACCTGATTCTCACACCAGAGCCCCCCCCCCCCCCCCACCCACACACACACATATCTACATCCTATACATACCTGATTCTCACACCAGAGCCCCCCCCCCCCCACCCACACACACACTTATCTACATCCTATACATACCTGATTCTCACACCAGAGCCCCCCCCCCCCCCCCACCCACACACACATATCTACATCCTATACATACCTGATTCTCACACCAGAGCCCCCCCCCCCCCCCCCCCACCCACACACACATATCTACATCCTATACATACCTGATTCTCACACCAGAGCCCCCCCCACCCACACACACACTTATCTACATCCTATACATACCTGATTCTCACACCAGAGCCCCCCCCCCCCCCACCCACACACACACTTATCTACATCCTATACATACCTGATTCTCACACCAGAGCCCCCCCCACCCACACACACACTTATCTACATCCTATACATACCTGATTCTCACACCAGAGCCCCCCCCCCCCCCCACCCACACACACACTTATCTACATCCTATACATACCTGATTCTCACACCAGAGCCCCCCCCCCCCCCACCCACACACACACTTATCTACATCCTATACATACCTGATTCTCACACCAGAGCCCCCCCCCCCCCACCCACACACACACTTATCTACATCCTATACATACCTGATTCTCACACCAGAGCCCCCCCCCCACCCACACACACACTTATCTACATCCTATACATACCTGATTCTCACACCAGAGCCCCCCCCCCCCCCCCACCCACACACACACTTATCTACATCCTATACATACCTGATTCCCACACCAGAGCCCCCCCCCCCCCCACACACACACACTTATGTACACTGTACCTCTCTCCCATCCCCTCCAACACACCTAAAAGTGCACACACCCACGCACAAACAATACTCACTTTTGCTTGATACAGATGACGAGGAAACTACACTATCACCAGCAGCAGCACCAGCAGTCACGGCAGTTTTACTTGCACCGTGCTGGTCTGCACTATCAGCATCAGGTGTTGCAGTCACTGATGTCCCGGCTGCTGCGGCTGCTACTGCAGCTTGGAGAATGTTACTTCCACTGTCTACATGTGACATGGCTGACACAGAGGATATTGATGAAGGGCAGTGAGATGGGGCACTGCTTGATGCGGCAATCCTATATACACACAGTGGTAACAAGCAGGGAATGTACAAGAACACAGTACTGTCGGCCGTCGAAGAACGACCAGCCTAGAATTTCAATTTCACCAAGCACAGCATACCAATGTATACACGGTGACTCAACTGTGCAAAGACTGTAATTATATGAAAATAAGAACGGTCTAGGCTAGGAAGCTGATCCCTCAGTTCTTCGGCGGCAGACAGTACTGTAACTTGTTCACAGGAGAAGTGTGATCACGTCCACCGCACAGAGTGCTCAACAGTGCTGGCATGCACTGGAGCTTGTACACACAATGCAAGCGGTTGAGTAAGTTATCTTTTTTCCAGACACTTTTCAATACGCTGTGCGGTGTGTAGAAAGTACATGTACTACAGTGCTGGCAACTGAAATCCGACCCCCCCCCCCCCCCTAGCGGTGCGCTAGCCCCCTAGCGGTGCGCTAGCTGCGTTAGCGATTCGTACGAGACGCCAGGGGGGTTGGATTTCAGTTGCCAGCACTGTAGTACCACACACTGAAGTAACTGTTAGTGATCACCACTTGTATGTGGAGATATTAGCACACATACAAGCACATGTACCGTCATCTCCCGCCGATTATATGTCACATCCAGTTATAAGTCGCACCCGCACTTTCAGGTCACCATCGTTAAAAAGGTTCAGTGCGTTCACCCGAGTATTTAATCAAACTCGATTGAAAGGTGTTCTTGGGGTCGACTTTAGGGTATATATTGTAAACATGGTGCAACCTATATCTGGGAAAAAGCGGCATGCAATATCCATGTTCAACCAATACTGTAAGTGCATGTAATACATTCTAGCTCAAGAAGATCCAGTGTGAATTGGTAGCAGATTTCTGACACAGCAAGTCGACAGCACTGGAAAACGGGGTAGATTGGCTGAAAGTTTATAAATCCAAGACCGCAGCATGTACTTCAAAGTAGCCATGACAAGCCAGCCATGCAGCGGGACAAACGGGACAATGATGTCGGTGTTTCGTATTGTACTGCAGCTGGTGTTTTTTTTTGTTTTTTTTTCTCTCTACAAAATCCACATTATCTCCAGACACTGGGGTGAATAATGGAGTGTGGTGATGTTGCTGCTGCTGCTGCTGCTGCTGCTGCTGCTGCTAATGATGATGATGACCACACCGCTGACTATTGTGATCACACACAGCTGTGTATGGTCGTTTTCACGTGGATCCTAATATACTTTAGAACGAGGTCTGTCTCGTTGTCTAGGAAACGACCAATCAGCGACATTCCCGCCAAGGGCCTTATCAGAGTTTAAAGCCCGCTCAATCGTTATTTTACTACTCTTGATGACGCGTCGAGGGCCTTGGATTAGTTTAAAGCCCGCTGAATATACTCTAAACTGGTGCGTACAACTCCCTGTATGCATAATAGTACGGTGCAGATAATGAACTCTGCATAACGTATACGGTGTACTACTAAAAGCTACGCAATTCAGAAGTGTGTACGGTTTTTGCCTCCCGTATTCTTTCACCTGTACGAATTTTCTTTGTCAACAGCTTGCGGAAACCTATAAAAACCGAAGATCAAAGTCATTAGAGTTATCGACAAGGGGCTCTCAAAGCCCCTAAATAGCTCCACAAGCTACATGTATGAATAAGAATGAAGCTCGCAATAAGAGCCCAGCATTTCATTTGCTTCCATTCTACTTTTAGTAGTCCTAAGTGGTGCTGAGTTACCATAACTTACCAGAAGAAAATATTCTTTCATACCACACCAAGTCTCTCTGCACACAAACCACAAAACTACCCAATATAGTGGTACACAAGCATAATGGAAGTGAGATAATGCATGTAACCTCGTTCTAAAATAGTTAGTGCATGGCAGGGAGGGTCTTATGGCTTGTTTGTGCCCTTCAGGGTAGCCCTCGGGCCTACGGCCCTCAGGCTAACCTGTCGGGCACTAACAAGCCATAAGGCCCTCCCTGCCATGCACTAACCTATAAATAAAAGCAGAAATTTTCGGTGGTGTAATATTTTCGTTATTCTCCAAGATCGGCGGTTCGGTGGAGGGAAATATTTGGTAAACCCGTATTCCAGGTAAGTGTACTAGTACAGTGGAGATTGGATATAACGACCTTGGGTATAACGACAAATCGAGTTTAGCAACACAATTCTGTTGCCCAAGTCGTTTAGCAAGTCCTTTCTGTACATTATAGATCGGGTATAACGACCTCGAAAATAACGACAGATCGAATTTACTGACACTTTTTTGGTGCCCGAAGATCTGAAAAACAGTGAAAATACATCGGATATAATGACTTTCTTCTTGTATCAGGCAGACTGGCATGTCTGGAACATGGTATAATGGCTGTGCCACGTGCCCGGACCTCCGGGTCACTCAATTATGTGTGCTTTAAATGCACGTTGTAGCCACAATGCAGCGGTGCGGGATGACTTTACCGTCCTTGAACAATGCATGCAAGACACAATCATGTAGAGTCATACACATCTGTTATCCACATGTACATGTACCTGTATATCTACAATACATTTCTGTCATTTTGATATACATATTGCATACTAAATGTGAAGATCGGGTTTAGTGACAGATCGAGTATAGCGACATTTTGCTTTCTCCCGAATGAGTGTCGTTATATCCAATCTCCACTGTACTATACTGAAATTTTCGGTGCCGAAATTTTTACCGCAAATAAAACACCACCGAAAATTTCTGCTTTCACGGTCGGCTACAAGCGGTGCAAACTTACGGGGATGGACTGTGACTGTCATCGGACGATGTTGAAACAGGTCCAACAGACTAAGAAATACACACATAAACACCCCCACACACACACACCCCCACACACACACACCCCCACACACACACACACACACACACGCACGTGTTAGAGGAATAGATGAACCGGTGCAAGAAACACGGGGAAGGCACCATGAAAACAGCAACAGCTATCAAATACAGTAGTACTGCCGGGTGCCGAAGAACTGGGAGTCAGCCTCCTAGCCTAGTAGGCCGCTCTAATTTTCATGTATGCACAACTGAGTCACCGTGTATTGGTGCGCTCTGCTTGGCGAAATCCTAGTCTGTTCTTTCTTCGACACTCCGCTCTTTGACACCCGGCAGTACAGAAGTGCTCAATGTGCCGCTGGACACTGAGTCTTCAGTCCCAACACACATACACGTATAGAAGACAAAACAACCCACTCAGGTTTAGTTAACACATTGTACCGAGAGTAACATGCATATGACCATCTTCCTGCAAGCCATGACGAGCAAACAAAAAGAAGACTCTTTTATAACTGCCATCAGCATTGGACAGCAAGTACAAAGGGAGCCAGGTTGAATATTGATGGTTGGCAGTGTCCTGACCAGGAACCTGGCACAGGAGAAAGCAGGCTCAATGCACGGGAGGGTGGACACGAGCAACTAATCCCTAGTGGTTTTTCCTCTTCCACGGGTGTACTGGAAGGTACCATACACAAATTTCCCAGGTGGGGTGACTAGACATGCTTATTAAGCAGGAAAGTGCCAGTTCACAATTTCAATCACATTTCACCTCCTACACTGCAGTACACTGCAGTACACTGCAGAGTGGGTAAGAAGTACATGGACATAGATCATCACAAACAATTTCCAGACCAAGACTGGCAAGAGACGAAGCAGCAGCAGCAGCAGCAATGTCAGCAGCAGCAACAGCAGTGGTGGTGGCAGTGTGTACCTGCTCGACGTTGAAAGAGAGCTGAACTTTGCCGTGAGCAACGTTCTGCAGAGAAAACCAACTGGGACCAGTCTACAACAGAAATATATACACACGCATGAACACGCATGAACATACACACACACATACACACACATGAACGCATGGATACACACGCACACACATGTGGACACGCACATACGCATGTGCACACATGTGGAGGTACCAAACGTCACGCAGTCAGTAATACTGGCACCAAAACACAACGCATGACTAACACCGCCTTACTCTAACAATGAATACACACACACACACACACACACACACACACACACACGCGCGCGCGTAGCACCAGGCATGGGTAGTTGTGTACATCTACCCGTGTTACCTATGCTCTGGTGGACCTCACCGGCAGGTGGGTACGAAAAATGTCAAAAAAACCCAATTGGGTATTATGCACGTACATAATACATGTACTGTAGTGGACATGGAAATCCGGTCGCACGTCTAGCAGCCCCAGGGCGCTGGCCATGCAGCCGTGGATAAGCGGTACACACATGCATTTATGCGCTGCAGCGCGCTGGTCGCATCGGATCAACATGTGCACTGCACGCAGTGTTCTGTACGCGCGCTGAGGGCGCCAGCCTTGGTCAATCGACTGGATTTGCATTTCCGCTATAGTATGTGTGCATGTTTATGTTCAATTTTCCCCATAACTTTGGTTGTATCTGGGCGAATTTGGACACCAGTAGGTGAGGGCAGATGGGTACCTTACTTCCCAAGTACAGAAAGGTACCACAGAACGCACGAGAAAGAAGCGAGCAAGATAAAGATAAAGAGAGAGAGAGAGAGAGAGAGAGAGAGAGAGAGAGAACAGAGCAGTGACCTTACCGAGCAACTTGTTATCATATCCATGTCAAGCTGAATGGTACCAAGTGCATCATCCGATAGTGTATCCTTGTCAAAACACACCTTTACACAGACATTGTACATACATGTGCATGCGCACACAAAAACACACGCGCGTGCGAAATGCATCCACACAGACATGTGCGTCCACACACACACACACACACACACACACACACACACACACACACACACACACACACATGCGCGCGCGTGCGCGCGCAAAGACAAACACACACACAGAGTCAAAATCATGCTAATACATGCACAAGACCAGCATTCTTCAACACATCCCTACCAACACATAGCACTATTATACTAACAAAGCACAGATTACTTGCTACCACACTTGCGGAAAGAACGTGATCGTACACTGGGAAAGGAATTTAAAACAGCAACCATAGCGGCAAAAGTTCATAAACAAGAGTATGCCGACTGTGGCTATGGATCTGTGCGCGGCGGCGCGCTGCCTTCAGTACAAAACCTGCCTGCATCACACTCCGTACTCATGAACTCAAACCCACAATCCCTCGTAAGCTCGTACCAGCACATCCGTTTCGCTCGATTCGTAAGAGTACAGACACAGTCTCTACAATTTGGGCACATGAGCTTCAGTTCCGTACAAAAGCTCATTTCAAACCAGAGGGAAAGTTTGGTGTTTGATTTTCCGCAGCGCACGGACTGTAGCTGCATAATGTACTGAAGGTAGCGCGCCGTGCATCTGGCCTATAGAAAAAAAGATCACAGTTGCATACTCTTGTCTACGGACTCCTGATAACGGTTATCAGCAGCAGCAGCAGCAGCAACAGCAGTAACATCGCCAGCAGCACTAGCAACAGCAGCAGCAGGATAACAAATATATAGTGAAGTACCGGTCCGTTATGGTACAGGTGGAATCCTGATAATTCGAACCTCAAAATGCCGGGAAAAAACTTCTAATTATCCGGACATTCTAATTATCCAAACATGAACCCACAACACAATATGTATGTCAAAATGCTCTCATGGTTACGCAGAGTTGCGCTATGGACCTAAGTCCTCAGACACAGATTTCACAGATACTGAACTGACCGGCACAGCCTGCTCATGCAAACTGAACAGATCAGTACAGAGTACAGTGAACTTTGAATTACACTTTGCTAAGCTGCTAACTTCGAATTATCAGCACAAATCCCACACATTTTCTATGTAAGTGGAATCCGTGGGACTTCTAATTAACCGGACATGTTCAGTTCGAGCTTCTAATTATCAGAACAAATTATGTGGGAATCGTATTGATAGAAATCGGTCCTGGGAAAACTTCTAATTAAGCGGTATGTTCGAATTAAGCCATACTCGAATTATCAGGATTCCACCTGTATTGCAAACATGACAACAGAACACCAGCATAACAACATGACAACATGACAGTACTGTATGAACTTACAATGGTTAACTTCTCATCATCTTTCAAGTACTCAATGGTGAAGGACTCTTCCCACTGTGGATGTAGGGTCTTGGGAATGACGCGTGTCTTGTAACGTACTGCTTTACCAACTTTCACAATACAGTACGGGTCACTCTTCCCTGCAGTGTTCAACAAACAAACACATACACACACACACACACACACACACACACACACACACACACACACTTGTACTTGCTCACTGCCAAAACTGGTCATGTGGGTCTCCCCGGGAGAGGGGAGAGAGACTCAAAAGGAATCTTGGAAAGATGACTCAATTGGCTATTGCACTGCCCAACGGCCAACACCCCCTGAAATCAACTCTGGGAGGACTTGGAAATGATCCCACTTATGGGCTCACCACACCTCAGTGAGTGGGTGAGGACAAGGTGCAGAAAAAGGATTGACGGCATCAGGGTATCCGTCCCAGGATCCAACTGCATTTACCCCCGTCTCCAGTCAAGGTAATACTTGCTACCAGTGTGGGTGGCTAAATCAGAGTGCATAAGAAAAAAGCTTCATTGGCATGCACGCACGCATACACATTCACGGCACATAACAAAGTACCATTGATGTCCTTGGACATGAGATCTCTTGCTCTGTGAATAATGATGTGAATAACACCTGTTAAACCACACAACAAACAAATACGTGCACGGTACGTGCGCTCGCACACACACACACACACACACACACACACACACACACACGCACATATGCGTACACACACAGGTACACACAGAGAGTAACATGATGAATACGTAGTTATACACACCTGAACAT